TGGATAAAATACAGAAGCTGCCAGTTGGTTACCACCTGAGATAGGTGGAGACAGGGGTATGGGAAATGCCGTCAATCACGTTATCCTAAGCCGTTAAGACTCTCTGGGATTGAGAGCAAATCGATGGGCCAAGATCTGTTGTCCCATGTTCTCCTGAGGTGTTCCTGGGTGTTACTATATCTGGGGATGAACAGAACTGTGTTTTTTGCCCAGCTGTGCTCAACATTACAGTGTTCAACAGTAACAGCAATCTCTCATTCATGGTATTTGGTGTTGGGGGACTTCCGTGTGCTGGGACTCGAGGAAGGCCACCAATTCATTTCACATATATTATTTCTGTAGGAAACACAGCATAATTGAGGACAATTTTCCACCATGAATTGCATCATTAGCTAACCCAGGGAAAGTGAAATGCTGTTAACTTTTCCTTTTCTTCTGCAAAGCTGATGAGCTGAAGAAAATAGAAATGAAAAGTTTAATGTAATTTTTTTCCAAAGATATACATTGAAAATCAGAATCAAAACACTTTTACACGGTAATAGAAATCCCACATTTTAATACATTGCCATGCACATAAGGAATCAAGTAATGCTGAATACAAAATAGTCAAATATACAAAATGGTAAAGCAGATTTTCAGGCCTGATAGAGATCATGCTCACATATACAAGGGGCAAAAACCTGTACAGTTTCATTTCTATCAGTTTAAAAAGAACCATGCCCCCAACTCTTTTGGAGGACAACCCCAAACAGATTGAGACATTATAAGAAAATATAAAGGACACCCAAACGGAGTTCGTAAATTTGTAGCTGCTTAAGATAGGGAAATCGGTGGTTCAAAATTGTGGGGCACAATAATTCTTATGTTTAGAGAAAAAAAAACTTCTAAACATTGTGTGCCCTGGGAACCCAGGGAACTAAAGTGAACATCCAACAGAAAAGGCACGCTTATTTCACTCCATAACTTGCCTGTGTCCTCCGAGGTCTAGTCCTTGGAGTTTTTCTAGGGTGCATTAAGAAAATACCCCACAGAGTGGTGGGTACTAAGGAAAATACTTGTTAACCACTCTAAGGGGCCTAAAAAATTCAGACTGTTGGTTTAACTACTCAAGGGAGCTGTAAAAATGTCTACCTTCTATGTAGGCTTTTGTGTTATGAAATGTGCTTTTTAAAAAAAAGCCATGTTTGTTAGGATTTGTAAAACAGTGAACCAGTTTTTTTCATCAGATTTTTCTCCTTCATACCTATTGAGAACACTGGTCTTGTACTCAGTTCATATGAGGTGATTTTTCTTCTTTCCTCTCCTAGAACTAATACTAGTAGACAGCAGCTCATCAAGGAGGTTCAGTGTGGTTGTTTCCCGGCCCTCCATTGCCAACCTCATACCTGCACCGGTCTTCTCCAGCCCAGGGACTGACGGGTTTGCAGGCCTGAGGCTCTCTCCCTCGGCTTGGTCAGAGAGCTCTAAAACCGATGGGAGGTGGAGAAGTGGAAATGAATGGGCACCTTGGCCTTGATTCTGCTGAGCAGCTTCCATATATTGGAAAAAACCATGTGTGTATGTATGTGCAAAACACTAATTGTTACTTTCTTAAAATTCTTTTTCTTTTCTAAATCTCATAATGGAGTCTCACTAATAACAGCTTTAAGAAGAAGGCATAAAGTAAGAGAAAGGGCTCACTGATTAAAGCCCATAGGCCTGCTCACTATGATAATTACAGATATTTATATTGGTGGTCCAGGACAGCATCTGCCCTTAACTCATTGTAGTGGCCAGACAACTCTGTGTGCCAAGGTGGGACAGGTATCCCAAACAGATGATCAGAGGCCCAGAGAAATGGGTGATTTCTGTTGAATTCAAGTATTCTTAAATTCAAAGCCTCTTCTTCCCCTTTCTCAGAGCAGTGCCAGCCTCTACAAAGGCCTAAGAATAACTCAAGTAGATAAACCACAACAGATCAATATTTTCTTTTTTTTGGTACTTTTTACTGCTAATATGTAATTTGGTTGTAGTATTGATCTTTTCTAAAATTTTGCATATAGCTGTTTAATTTAGAGCCTAATGATATTAAATACTTGGATTAACTGGAACTGCAGTAATATGATTAAGTGACATAAGAATTTCGATGGAATTCCTTTCAAAACATTTGTGCTGGCTTGGCTATTCAGCAAGACTAGTTGCTTCTGTGCCATTCATGACTGAGAGCTTCAGAGCAAAGTCAAGAAGTTAGCATTATTCAGCTCTCTGCAATGTGCACGTCTTTGACTAGCCAAACCACCGGGCTCCTCAGACACGGCCTTGTAAGGATAGCATTCTTCTCTTGGTGGAGAAACCATTCAGATCCCCAGAGATCCTTCAAAGTGTGGGGCTGAGCAAGTGGACTCCCAATAGGGGATGGGTTGGGGGCAGGGGGAGTTGCAGTGTGTTTGTGTGTGTGGGGCCAACACTCCCTGAGAGGCTAATGCTTCCCTTCTGGTGATTTGGCTTGAGAGTTAAATGACAATGACAAAGACAGAGGTTCCAGTCTTCAAACATGTAGAAATTCCAATTCTAGGAAAGCTTTTCACCACAATTCTCTTTAAGGTTTCCACCTAAAAACAGGGGCCTTTTGATATGAAAAAGAACCGGTTGCACACTTCAAAACCTCACTGGCAGGTGGGGAAACCTTAGTTTTCTCTCATGTGCCCTGTGGGGCACCAGGCATAGTACCTGTCAGAAGCTGCCCCAGAGTCAGCAGGCAGTTCCCAATGAAACACCTTAAATGAAGTTGCTGGTGGTTAAACAAAAAAATACTGGAAATATACACAAAGAATTAGAATTGATTTAGGGGTCCCATATTCAGAGACCATGGCAATGTTCAATCCCAATCATATTTTTTGGGTTTGTGCTTGAATAGTGAGACCAGCTAGAGCTTGAAAAGGTATTTTCATGATATTAGTGCTATTTTAGAGGGAGGTCAGGCTAACGTCTTCTGGGGAGATGGGAAAAGCCCACCGTCAGTTTGTGGAATGTGACAGGAGCGGCCGTGGACACTGGAGGCATTCAATGGCAAGCAAATTTAACTTCAAGGTGATGCCACAAAATCAATTCCCCCACCCAAGAGAAATAATGATCTAAGAAGGATCTCTTGTAGATTTTTTCTTTTTTTTAGTGAAGCTCTTGAACACATTTTTATAGAATTTGGGGGTGGGGGTAGTGATTAAATACAATCACACAAAACAGATCTGTGTGTCTCAGACATCAACCTGGTTTAGAATTCCACATTCGGTAGCTTCGTGTGCGCTAACGTGATAAAGCCAAGTAAAAGCAGCCTGTTTATTTCCTTTGATCCAAATGATTGACACGTGAAAGGTTTTGAACAATGCAGAAGGCAAACTGCGATCTTCAGTATCTTAATTGTTTTAGGTATTAGTATCTCTGACATTAGGTTAATTTAACAGTTGCCCTGTTATTCAGTAGGGCTGTTTTTATCCCTTTGCATTTTAGGCAAAAGAGTTCAGGTCTAATAGCCTTTTCTAAGGCTTCTGTAAATGTTTGAGGTTAAGAAAAACAACAATAACAAATAAGCAATTAAACAAATGAAACTCCCAAACCACTGGCTCCAAAATAAGAATGCGGTATAATCAGAAACAATGTCTATATAGCTACAACACTTAATATTATATGTCAACCAACCAACAACCGTAATTCAGCACAAGTCATATGGTTACTCGGAAATTTTATTAGGCATATGTCGTTGCCTTTTCGTGTTTGATATAATTGGGGAAGGGAGGATCTGAAGTAAGAATGCCTGGGGCTGTTGCAGGTTATAAAACAGCCCCATGTGGTGAATGAAATTCCAATTCTACAAAAGCTTTGCACCTATTTTTTGCTGTTTTGTGAAGTCATTCCTCAGTCTTTGTTCTGTCAAGCCCACACTGACTGGCGCTTCCCCTTGACATTTGTCATGGATGAGTTTCACCCTAAAACGTTTAGACCTCAAGGAAACCAGCACTGATACTATCCCTCTAGCCACCTTCCCAAACGAGAATCTCCAGGGAAGGTCTATGTTGTTCTTTTCATTAAGGTGTAGCAGAGCCTCTCTCTGTGCATTTGGCCAACTTTTCCTCAAGCGTTCCCCAGGGGGTTAGCTCTCAAAAGAATGCTCCCTTTCCTCCCTGAAGTAAGTCATGCGAGGCAAATAATGGAAATGTGCCCTCTTTACCCTAGAAGCTGTGTAGCAGTGCCGTGAACCATAGACACTGATACAGCAGAATTCATAAGACGGTTCTCTGGCTGCAGGATTAGATGCTGATCTCAAACAAAGGCGCAGACTCCGCCTTTGAAAGGGTCCCCAGCTGTGCCCTGCACAGAGTCATCCCCTGGCCTGTCCTCCCTCATGACCTCACAGGCTCTGTTTTGATTCGCAGTGCTGACCAGTCCCCCCGGGGAGGAGAATGCAGGGCCCACTGCTGTCTGGGCAGCAAGCTTCCACCATGATCGAGTTCAAGAAGGAATCACTAGTCAGCTCCAGGGAAAAATGGTGACCACCACATTTTTGTGTTTGAGTTCTTTATAGAATATTCAAAATCTACTCAAGAAATGATGTTAAAAGAAGAGATTAAAAGGGAAAAAACAAATGAAACAAAACAAAAAAGAAAAAAACCCAACAACACCCAATAAAGCAAAAATGTAGGGTGGAGGGAGCTGTGGGAGAGGTGAATAAAAACAGCCTTTAAGGCATAAAGGAATTTATGTCATTTTCAAAGATTAGATTTTTAAAAAGAGTCTATGGCAGCTTTAAGTCTAGTTGTCAAGTAACAAAATTACTCTAAGGAATGTAGAGGAAAACATCACAAATAATGAAGTTGCTAATGCACTGGGAACGGGAGGTTTGGGTAAAACTACAGTGCTAAGGGGGTCTTGAAAACTGTTCTTCCAGGGGAGACGTTTATTGTTCCCATCCAAAACCAATTACGTGACATTTGCAGACAAAGAAAGCATTTGCAAGTTACAAGGGATACATCCATTAGCGATTTTAATCCATAGTTTTTATTATCCCAGTAAGGTTGACATTCCTTTTCCCCTTGAATGTTAAAAATGGCAGAACTTCCTCACCACTCAGGACTGTTAGCCTCTGTCTGGGCAACAGAGAAGGGACGGGAGAGAACCACGAGTTGTTTACTGTGTTGTGTTCTGGAGGTAGAAAGCAAATGTGCTGTTACACACCTCACAGAGCCTAAGCAGGGACTGGAAGGTACACCATTACCCACAAGAAAGTTGATAGGGCCTCTATCCCCCTAAGTATGTTTTAAACTCCTGAAGTGATTCGCTTTTTACCCTAGCAGAACCACTGAAGCTCTGCGTATTTAAATTCAGTTCTGGAGCCGGAACAAGCTAATCCCCTTGGCACCCCCGAGAGTCTGATAATTATTCATTTCTGTTCCTTCCCAAGAGTGCCTTTCCTGCACAAGTGTGGGCGTCAGCCTTTTAATAAAAGGTATAGCGCAGGTTTAAGGAAAAGGGAAAGTTAAGCATCAATAGTTTACAGCCCTTAGATATCAAAATATTTATCCCTTACCACCCAGTCTCCTAATTTCTACTAAACAAAACTCACTACAGCCATTTCTGAACTTCAGGGAGGTAAAATGTCCTCCACACGTATTGGGAAGAAGGTACAGGATCCCAGGAGTTAACTCCGGGGCACTGTGGATCAACATGTAACAAAGAATTCAAAGGGTGCGAATGAAATTGTTTCTCTATTTTGCTGGTTTAGCTTATAACTGCTCAGATTTTATGCCACCATGTGTCCAAAACTATCCCCAAAATGATTTCAAACAGAGGTCGATAGTTTGGAAAACAGTAGTAGTTCTTATGCAAATGAGTGGTGCCTGCCGGGAATTAAGGCATTTTTAGAGAAGCCATCTTTAACTGGGCTCTTTGTCATTTCTGAATTTGCCTTCTGCCATCTGCATCTTCACCATCATCTTTTAATAATTTTCTAGCCTATTTTTGACAAAAAAAAAAAAAGCCTAGGAAATTCTACTTCTTTCATTGATCAGAATGTATTTTGCAAAAGCCAAAGGCAGTAAGGGTGTACCACCTGATACCATTTAATGAGCATCTGCACTGTAAAGCTTGGCCAGTTTGCCAAGGGTGTTAGAAGTGGTCCCGGGATGACCCTGGCTAAGCCAACTAATTCCCAGACACACTGTCTCAGCGCGTGGCGGTCATTCTATTGGATTTATCAGGCCCCATTCTGTGTCCTCAGGATGAGGTACAGAATTGGAACTTCAGACTTCAGCATAATGATGAATGGTTGTGTCTGGGAATATAGGGAATCAGGGAAGATGTCAAGGAAAACAACTTTGGGAGGCTCTAACCAGCAAAACTGGGGCCCTGGAAGGGCCGAACGAACACGAACGGTGCGATGATGTGGTCTGATGCCATCCGCTACCCCTTTCTCCTCTGTCCACTTCTTCAGGCAAGGGAGCTGCTTGCTGCCATGTGCATTTTCTCAGGTTACTCAAATGCTATCTGAACTCAGTTTTCATTGTAGAAAAGTGGGGTGGGGATAGTGTTTGGGGGGTGGAGATTTTATTTCATAACGGCATGGAAAGTTGCCTTGTACACAGGTGTCCCAGTACAATGCTTGGCATGTAGTAGGCGCTAAGCAAATGCTTGCTGAACAAAGGAAGGAATGAAAGAAGGAGGAAGCAGCCCTGTTGTTGGAACTGAAACTCAGGAGGGTGGGCTGTGGAGTCAGGAGTCGTGGCAGCAAGGATTTGGCCTCCTAATTCTGGATTTGCAAAGATTTATGGTCTGCTGAGGGCCTTATGGTAGTGGTGCTAATTCACTGAAGGGCCAGATTTCAGTGATGACTGAAACTCCTGAGTTCCCTCTAAGCCCCATTTGGCATGAGAGCCTGCCAGGCTGTGGTGAGTCATCCTACTGAGTATCTCACCCAAACCACCCAAATCACACACTCTCTCTCTTCCCCTGCTAGCTTTCCAAATCTCAAGTGGGGGTGTCTTCCAACGGGCTGTGCATTTCTTGAGACCCCCCGAGGGGAGGCAAGATGTGCGGAGAGAAGACAATGTGCATATATGTGTGTGTGTGTGTGTTTGGAGATGCCCTAACATGCCAAGCTTGCTTGTGCTGGCAGGGTCCCAGAGTTGTTATAGGTATTTAAATAAAAGCCTCCAATGCCTGCCAGTCCCTGGGAGCGCAGGCACACAGAACACAGTCTGTCGAGTTTTTGACTCAGCAAACTTTATACTTTCAGGAAAAAAGTGCTAAAGCATTATGTAGGGTCAGAGAGTATAGACATTTCTCTAATGCCTGAAGACAAGCAATACTGGACTGACTGCTTTACCAGGACTGTGCTTTGTTGTAAAACATAGTAAAAAAACCAAAATCAGTTGTGGATATAATCCCAAAAAGGATTAAAAAGGGACTAGTAGGTTCTCTCCTGAGGAAGGAACCTAATGTGGGATTGGACATTTCTCCTTTCCTAGGCATGCAGGGGGTCACTTGCTGATTTCTCTCTTTAAGTGAGTTGGGATTTAAACTTGACTCAGGAAGTTCTCCAGAGCCTTAGCATCAAACCACACAGGGAAGCTGCATTCTGCTGCCCTTCCCATCAGCTCACCGTGGTCTTTGATTAAAAGGCCATCCCCCCTCAGCTTTTCTTCCTTGAGAGAACTCTTCTATAGAATGAGAGTGTATGTGCACTGGCCAAGCACAAGCCTCCTGTGTCTGAGTATTTGTGTGTGGGTGTGGCAGGTTGTGCCCAGGTACATGGAACCAAGATTAAGATATTAAAATCACCAGGCCCACCTCTACTTCCCTTTGGTGCTACAAGGAATCCAGTTGTCCAGTAAAGTAGCAAGAGGTTAAGTCTAACAGTATTGTGGCCATATTTACACCAATCTACCCCAAATCACTGGGGGTGTGCTAAAAGTGGGATTTGTCTTTGACAGTCTGAGCCAGAAATAGGACAAGATTCATAAAAGAAAAAAGAAAATACTTGCTTTCTCACATGTACCGAACGCGCTGATTTGTTTTGGTGTAGTGTTCTCATAATAAAGTGCTTAAGAGTTGGACAGAATACCTTTAGACGTCATAACTAACATCATTGAGACATGTTACATTCCTACCAGCACATAGCATTGTGAACACTTCCACTGGAACTGCAGAACTGTTGTGATTTTTTTCTAGCACATCATGCCATCTGTGCACATAATGAGATCATCCAGTAGTTGCCATGCTGAAACAGGACTTCTAGTGAAGGGCACAGACAGCTTCCCAAAGGGAGCTGGAGTTACGCACAGTGATGAAAACTGGAAGCGGTTTTCCAGCTAATGGTCTGCCAATGACCATTTGGAACAGCTTGGCACTGCCTCTTATGCACCTCATTTAAAGATCCACAGCAAACTAAGATTTTTCCAAAGCCCATAATCTTGACTGAATGGGTGTTTCCATTAATCTGGTTAATCTGTTCATACTCCAAAGATATCTTCTGGCAGTGCCATGATTTAGTCTTTCTGTGAGCAACAGGCCATGTTCATGTCACCTGGCAGGACAGCAGCTTGGAAGGCTAACCACGTTTATGGAGAACCCTCAGTTGAGGCTGCAAGAGGAAAAAGGGGAAAATGTAGTGAGTTATTTCTCTGTGTTCTCAGATACTGGTATGTGGCAATTATCATATTCAAAGAAAGTCTAACATCTTTAGGTCAAAGAGAAAGTTCTAGGGGAGATAATGGCTACTCAACTCCAGAACAAATGTATGGTGGTTTGTATTCTTGGAATGTTTTCCCATTTGCAAAGCATGAAAGATCCATCTCAGGATAAGTGGAGGTGGGGGTGGCTTTATTAATCAGGAAGCTTTTCTGGGATAAAAACTGGAAGGAAATACTGGAAGCAGTATGGCTGCAGCTTCTGGGTTTGCTAGTTGAGAAGTATAACTGGCTGAACAGGTAGGGACTGGATAGGGAAAGTCATTAAAGCCTGACCAGAGAATGAACTATCTGACTTGCAGATTTGCTTTTGACTTAGAGAATACTGGTGCAGATATGTTTATCTGGTTTTTATAATGTTTTATTTTCTAATCTTTCCTATTATTTCATCTGGGTACTCCCTATAATTCCTAATACACAGGTCCTCATTAATGAGATAATTTGGGAGTACAATGGAATGTTTTGCTCTGAAAAATATCAATATTAGCTTTATTTAATACACAAAACTATTGGGCAGTGGGAGAGAAGGATAGCATGAATTCTTGATGTTAAAAAAAAAAACTGCCGAGGTTTTAAAACTGGCTTTTCAAAACATGTGAGAATGCACAATTCATAAGCAAATGTTTGATTAAACTTGCTATTTTTGAGAAAAATGCAAAAACAAAGGATACTACTTAACTGTATTAAATATAAAATAATAATACACACTACTGATAGGGTCGTAATGAAAGTAGAATACTAATGTATTGCTGATGGCATTGTAAACTAGAAAAATAATGCCAATTTATTTAAGAGCTATTAATAATTCACATTCCTTGACTTGGTCCTCCCATTCTAGTGGTATATTCTAAGGAAATAATATAAAAAGTGAAGAAAACTATGTGCACAAATATGTAACCTAGAGGTTATTTATAATAGTGGAAGAACTGGAAAACAACAAGTCTCCATTGTTGAAAATTTAGGTTAAGCAAATTATGGTGCATTAACAAGATGGATGATTACATAGCTATTAAAGTAATAATTATGATGATTATGTAGCAACATGGTAAACAGTTATGGTATACTACAATATAAAACTTACACATATGCACAGAAAAGAACTGTAAGGGAACTGGTTGGAGGCACTAGAATTTTTATTATTGTCATAATAGTTTGCAAAACAACAAAAATAGGGCTCACAAGGGTGCAGATTTGACCCATAAGCCTTGACTAAGTAAAGCATTCATGATTATTTGCATTCACTGATACCACCTCTAAAATAAATACTTTGCAGTTTCTTAAGAGATAACACTCCAGTTATTGAAAGGCACAAAGGAACCAACATGAATAAGGGAACAGTACAGCCTAGTGTAACCTCATGGGCTTCTAGGGACCTGGCACAGTACCCCATCTTTGAAACTTTGGCTAAAATCAGGCCTTATGAAACTGTTGTAAGAAAAACCAAAAAATAAGATTTGAAACTGAATAATAATAATACAGAGTGAACTCTTATTAATTGCTACACTTTGGATCCTGAGTCAGGAGTTGATAAACAGGTTTATCACAGTTGCTGCTTTTCCAAATAACCATGTTTTGCATGTGAGCCTCTAACAGCTGATGGAAAGCAGATGTGTCTAATTTTAGCACGTAACACTTATAATCATGGATATAAGCTGATCCCATCATACTAAAGCTCTTTCACCTGTGGTTTCCCACTACGCTTCTTAGGATGGTAGAGCTATCCCCATTTTACAGATAAGGAAATTGAGACCCAAAGGTATTACATGAGGCCCAAGGTCACACAGCTAGTGAGGATCCAATCTGTACCCAGACTTTGGTGTGTCCCACTCTAGTGACATGCTGGAGTAACAGGGACAAATACATAAAGAATAAGTATTCAGAGCCTTTCCTATTCTCCTATCTTCTCAGTAGGATTCTACGTTTATCCACGAGCCCAGTCAGAATAATAAAAGGCCCTACTGGGCCAGGAAGAAAATTGGAGGCTAAAGTGATTTATATCGGAAAGCTAGAGATAATGGAAAGAGCACAGAGATGCAACTCCAAGACATCAGTACACATAGAACTAGAGGCCACCGAGAAACAAATGGGTTTGGAAGTGATGTAGGAGATTTGGGAGATGGCCAGCATGGGAGTGGGAACTTTGGAAAGGGATGGCCAACGAGAAGAGTGTGCTATGGCATAACACACATGGCCCATCTGGCCACGGAATCCGTAAAGTGTTTACTGTTCTCTGCAGCTTTTGTTGTTAGTTGTCTTTCATTTGACTATGTCACCAAGTTGGGCTGGGCTTTATGTGGGAGCAAGAGGCCCTTGTTTTCTCAGGTTGTATGTGCAACGTATGTGCCGACAGTAAGGCTTGAACTATTGTCTTTCTATCACAGATGCATTGTGATGGGTCCTGCTGTTATCACTTTGCTGGAGATTTGTGTTATCCGCAATGCGAATCATGTCTTCAGGTATGTAAAAGCTACATGAGATCAAAATGCAAAATGGCAGTTTACATTAGATGGCTCTGGCTCTTTAAAAGGAGAAACATGTTATCTTTGAGATGGTGTACTTTTTGGGTTCCATCCCCTGGGCTTCAGCCATCTCAGATTTCTTCTAGTTACTCATATACTATTATTTGCAGGTTTTGCTCAACCTCTTCTCCTGCCTAGGAGGCCTTCTTCTGCCTCTAACGCCAATGAACACCTGTCCCTCGCTTGTGCAGTACCACCTCCTGTGTAACATTCTTTATGAAGCCTTCTTTCCCCTTGATACAGCTGACAGCTTCAGCAGGAGCCAGCCTTGCATTGTAAACCTTTACCACCAAACCCACCATGAACACTTTAATGCATCCATTGCTCCTAAACTTCTTGAGATCAGTGTGATGTCTTTTGTAATGTTTTTCTAATGCAAAGTGCAGGGCTGAATACACAGAAGTGTTTAATACATAGTTGTGAAATTAATGAAGAAAGGAATGATGTTGGAGAAGAGTTTCTTTCTTTTCTTTCTTGCTATCAATGCCTCATTTTACAAAATTTAATCCCACAGCTCAGGCCTGCATATGGAAAGGGGGATTGTTCTAGTTTCTTTCTCTACATTTAAGGACACTCATGTGCATCTGGTGCTAGCCATGTATGGATTTGCAGCTAACAAACAGTAAAGGGCTCTTTCTCAAATCTGTTTGATGTTTCAGGCATTCTGGGAACTAATTATCTCTTTAGTCCAGTGGCTTCAGAGTCTGGGATGAGTAGAGAAGCATTAGAGTCCAGTGATTAAGAGGCTCTGGAATCAGGTGGATATGAGTTGACATCCCAGGCTCACCTACCAGCTATGGGATGTTGAAAACATGGATTTCTCCAAACCTCAACATCTTCACTGTTAAAATGGTGATCATAATCCCCACCTCACTGGGTTGTTGTGATGATAAAATGTGTTCATAGAAAAAGCCTTTTTTTTGCATGGTATTTGACAAATAGTTAATATCTGCTAAGTAATGGCTACTATTTATTATTACTTTTGGCACAAATTCTCAAATTACTTAGAGAAACTAGAGATGTAAATAGGTTAGTGTTCTAATGCTACAGCTTGGGGCCGGGAAAAAGAAACAGGCCCAGAGGTCAAGCCTTTTCACCCTCCAGGAGACAGAAAAGCCTCCTCGCCTGCCAAGGCCACAGGCAGCACAATTTGGCTTCCACTCTCCCCAGATTAGTGCAGACATTACAGCCAGGTCCATGATAAGGATAGTTCACTTCAAAGGCAGGAAGGGGCTGGCCTGGGAGGCAATCGCCAACCTGGCACAGGATTCAAGAACAGATCTGAGAATGAGTGTGTCCAGCGCTAGCTTTCCCGGCTCCAGCAGCAAGGGGCTGGGGGATCAGTATGTTTAGGTAAGCAAAGTTACAGCGTGCAGGCAGCTCTACCTCTCGTATGCTGAATGAAAGAAATAAGACTTCATCTCTTAAAAGGGTTGTTTAGTGTCTTGCAATCAAAAAGCAGGGCCATATCCTCTATCATAATATGTTTTGTGACTCAAGTTTGAGGGCCTTGGGGGTGGATCTGGATTGCATTTTGATATGGGACCATGATATGGGAATTACATGATAAGGGAATTTCATTTTGATATTTATATCAGGTGTGAGATGTACATTCCAAAGGAGTGAGATGCAAAGGTGCCCCCACATAATATCCACTAATACATAGAACACTTATTAAGCAGATATAATGGACCAACTTAGGTTTTATTATAGGCAGTCACTTATTGAATCCTCACTGCCATCTTCGAGACCTGAATTGCATCCTCATAACACACCTGGAAAAAACAAGGCCAGGTTCATTAACTTATCACAGCCATCATGCTGGAATACACGGGTCTGAGACTGGAACCCAGATCTGTTCTCACCACAATGCTTTCCTAGCTCAGTAAGAAATCTGTTAGGAAAGCAAACTCCTTAATGCCAACAGGAATGCAGTAGCAAAAGCAAACAGCTCTGTCTGTGTGAAAGAATGCTCATCAAATGTGAGTTCTACATACAAAGTGACATAAATAAGAGGTTTGACCAGTAGTACCTTTATACTTAACAGTCTAAAATCTTTCCTATGTTTAGAACCATGGTTTTCAACTTGGTGCAATTTTGTCTCCTGGGGACATCTGGCAATGTCAGAAGACATTTTTGGTTGTCACAAATCCTATGTTTAGAACCATGGTTTTCAACTTGGTGCAATTTTGTCTCCTGGGGACATCTGGCAATGTCAGAAGACATTTTTGGTTGTCACAACTTGGGGGCTACTACTGGCATTTAATGGGTAGAGGCCAAGGACCCTGCTAAACATCCTAGAATACACAATAAAGCCCCTGCCACCCCCCACATCAGAGACCATCCAGCTCAGAATATCAGTAGTGCTGAGGTTG